GCTAAAGCTAAGCTAAAGCTAAGCTAAAGCTAAGCTAACGCTAAGCTAAAGCTAAGCTAAATATAAGCTAAAGCTAAGCTAACGCTAAGATAAAGCTAAGCTAAAGCTAAAGCTAAAGCCAAGGCTAAAGCTAAGGCTAAGGCTAAAGCTAAAGCTAAAGCTCTCAAGGGACTGGGGGAACCGCGGGGCGGATGCCGGAGGAACCGCCCTGGGCGGGTTCCACTGCCCGGCCCTTTAAGCCTAATAGTAAGAACCCTTCTAGGCAGAGCCTAGGTAGGGAAAAACCGCCCTAAAACCTTCCTCGGGAAGGTTCCGGGATTCCTGGAACCCCCCAAAATACCTTCCTACAACCTTCCACAGGAAGGTTTTTGGAAGGTTTTTGGGCCAACCCATCCCGGCACCTTCCAGAGGAAGGTTTCAGGAAGGTTTTTGGAAGGTTCTTTGTGTAAGGTGTTTGTAAGGTGTTTGGATGTTTTTTAGAAGGTTTTCGGAAGGTGTTTGGAAGGTTGTTTGGAAGGCTTTTGGAAGGTATGTTGGAAGGTTTCTTTTCAAAGGGTTTTGGAAGATTTTTGGAATGCGTTGGGCGGTTTCGCTAAATGCTGGAAGGTTTGTAGGAAGGTGTTAGGGAGGTGTGTGGACAGTTTTTTGGAAGGTGATTGGAAGGTTTTTGGGAAAGCGTTTGGAAGGTTTGTGGGAGATTGTCTGTAAAGGTGTTGGTTGTTGGAAGGTTTGTTTGGTTGTTCTTGGGGGAGTTGTTGGAAGGTTTGTTTTAGAAGGTTTGGAGGTGTCTGAGAAGTTTTTGGAAGGTTTGTTTGGTTGTTTGTTGCAATGTTGTTGGAAACTGTTGGGAAGGTTTTTGAAAGGTGTTTGGAAAGTTGTTGGAAAACAACCGTCTTGAAACCGTTCTTAAACCTTCCTCGGGAAGGTTCCAGGGGTTCTGGAACCTTTGGAAGGAGAAGGAGGGGGGGGAAGAAAAAAAAACGTCATAAAACATTCCTCGGGATGGTTCCGGGAGTCCTGGAACCTTCAAAATTACCTTCTTAAAACCTTCCTTCGGACGGTTTTGGGGAGGTTTTTGGCCCAACCGCTCCTGGAACCTTCCTGAGGAAGGTTTTAGGAAGGTGTTTGGAAGTTTTTTTTGGCCAGGTTTTTTGGAAGGTGATCGTAAAATGTTTGGAACGGTTTTTGACTGGTGTTTGAAAGGTTTTGAACGTTTTAGGAAGTTGTTAGGCAGGTGTTTGGAAGGTGTGTTGGAAGGTTGTTGGAAGGTTGTTGGAAGGTCTGTGGGAGGTGCTTGGAAGGTTGTTGGAAGGTGTTTGGAAAAACTTGCCTGAAACCTTCCTAAAACCTTCCTCAGGATGCTTCCAGGATTCCTGGGACCTTTCAACAAAAAAACGTCCTAGAACCTTCCTCGGGAAGGGTCCGGGATTCCTGGAACAGTCCCCCCAAAAAAAAACATCCGAAAACCTTCCTCAGGAAGGATTTGGGAAGGTTTTTGGGCCAACCCCTCCTGGAACCTTCCTGCGGAAGGTTTTAGGAATGTTTTTCGCTGGAAATTGTTTTGGCAGGTTTTTGAAAGGTGTGTTTTGGAAGGTGTGCCGGAAGGTGTTTGAGAGGTTTGTTGGAAGGTTTTTGGAAGGTGGTTTAAAGGTTTGTTTGAAGGTGTTTTGGAATGGTTTTGGAAGGTTTTTGGAATGTACTGGGCGGTTTCGCTAAATGCTGGAAGGTTTCAGGAAGTTTGTTGGAAGGTTGTTGGAAGGTTTGTTGGAAGGTTTTTGGAAGGTTTCTGGAACAACCTTCCTGGAACCTTTCTAAAATCTTCCTCCGGAAGGTTCCAGGACTCCTGGAACCTTCTAGAAAAACATCGAAAAACCTTCCTCAGGAAGGTGCCAGGATTCCAACCTTCCAACGAAAAAACGTCCTAAAACCTTCCTCTGGAAGGTTGTTGGAAGGTTTTTGGGGCCAACCACTCCTGGAACCTTCCTGAGGAAGGTTTTAGGAAGGTTTTTTGGAGGTTTGTGGAAGGTCGTGTTGGAAGGTGTTTGGAAGGTGTTTGGAAGGTGTTTTGGAGGGTGTTGTCGTGTGGACGGTTTCTTGGAAGGCTTTTTGGAAGGTTTTTTGGGACGGTTGTTTGGAAGGTTGTTTGGAAGGTTGTTGGAATGTATTGGGCGGTTCCGCTAAATGCTGGAAGGTTTGTAGGAAGGTGTTAGGAAGGTGTGTGGACAGTTCTTTGGAAGGTGATTGGAAGGTTTTTGGGAACGTGTTTGGAAGGTTTGTGGGAGATAGTCTGTAAGGTGTTTGGGATGTATTGGGCGGTGGCTCTAAATGCTGGAAGGTTCCAGGAACGGTTTAGGAAGGTATGTGGAAGTTGTTTGAAAGGTTGTTGGGAGGCTTTGGAAGGTGTTTGAAAGGTTTTTGGAATGTTTCTGGAGAAACCTTCCTGCAACCTCCCTTAAACCTTCCTCAGGAAGGTTCCAGGACCCCTGGAACCTTCCAAAAA